GGCAAATAATATAGCATCAATATTCGGACAGTGCTGCTCTTTGTTATTTTGAGTGGCTCCAGGGGTTGCGCTCTGCAGTTCTGTGGCACGTCCTCCAAAGATTTGGGGCACTGCTTCAGTTTCAATGAATGCAGACATCATCTTCTCCATCAGAGCTCCAACGCGTGGACCACTTCTCTCGCTCTTTGAAATCAAGCTTTGAACCCTTTAGGGTTGCTGATGACCTCTCAGTAATGGTGATTTTTCTCCTACAAGGGGTCCTGAACCTAGTGCTTTCTTTTAATTCTGTTCTCTTTCTTCCTCTTCAGGCTTGAGTAAGGCCAGATTGATGAAGCAAAGATAACATACGCGTTGCAATCTCTTGCCTTCTCTGTGATGACGAATCGATATTGCTCAGGACCCTCCTGTTGACTGCCCCTCCCTCCCAGCACACATACAGGAATGAAAGAGCCAACTGCACTCTTCAGTCAGAAAAAGCAGCTTTTTCTAGAATTAAGCTGGAATTTTTGAAAAAGGTCCATTCCACAATTTTATACAGAGAGAGTCATGGAAAATACATCCCACCCATTCAAAAAAAAATAAGAGCTTCAGATTAGACTAGATACAGAGTTATGAGAATTTTAGCTAGAAAAGGTATAGTGGATTATCTAACAAAATTATTATTATTTGATATCTATTTTAAAATAAAACTAAGAAATCTTGCTGAGGGAATTGAAGGACTGGAACTGCGGCTGATAAAATCTTTGACCTGGGCATACCCCTTGGCCTCAGCATAGTCTACAATGGCTCTCACTGGTCATTGTCCCTCTCGGCAAACCCTGTGCATGTTGGGCTGGTAAGCCGAGAGAGTGTCTGCCTGCCTTGGGCAGGGTGCTCAGCTGCCCCTCTTTGCATATAGACCCTTTGCCCCATCAGCTCCCTGCTATCCCTCCTAAGACCCTTTTGTCCACTGAGACTGTGGGTCAGAATGCCAGGGGTGGGACAAGTTCCATACGATGGGTACCAAAGGTCCAGCCAGGTCACACCTGTGTCCTGGGATGCAGAGACCTCTGTCCAATCACTCTGTCACTGGATTTTGCTTTGGTGTTTGCCTCTATTTCCTGGGCTTCTTCTTTCCCTCTCCAGATTCCCCATTCCCTTTCTGTCCCTGAAATATCCAGGAACTCGGTGTATACCTGCAGCTTGTCAAGGGCCACAAGAGACCTCAGAAGATGGGAGATAAGGAAGGTGCCTCCTTATTGGTTCCTTTTGAAAATCTGAAATTGTGTGTTCAAAGAACTTCCCTCTTTTCCCATAATTACAAGGAAAAGTTTAGGGAAAAAAAAAACATGAAAGAGGCTAAGGCTAATGTGCCTTTGGATTTTATTTTGGGTGAAAAGAATGCCAAAGATGGAACAAAAGGAGCAAGCAGATGAACAAACATTTTATTGATATATAAGAAACTGGTACTGAGGTAGTAGGTCCCAGAGAAAGTATACAAATGGTCAGCATTGTCAAGTCCCTTTGACTGGCTTGGAAAAGCCAAATCGTGGCAAAATGAAATTATCTTTGGTAGGTCTACCAAACAAAATGCTGGTCTAGGATTCTTAAGCAGCAGAAATGTATTTTCTCACTATGCTGGACAGTCGAAGCCCAAGATCACGTGTCTAGCAGGTCGGGCCTCCCTCCTCAGCTGGAAGATGGTGTCTTCTTCCTTCGCATCTCTACAACGTTTTTCTTCTCGATTCAGTCTTTCTTGGGACCTAATTCCCTCTTCTTACAAAGACCCGTACCATATTGGATTTGAGCCCAACTGTTTGGCTTTATTTTTTACTGTGTGGTCTCTTTAAATATCCTGTCTACTACAGTCCTTCACATTCTGGAGTGCTTTCAGGTGAGGAACCCAAGGCATCAGCATAGACATTCTGAAGCCACACGGCTTAGTCAAGAATACCAGGATTAGGAACAGAATCAATACTGGAATGTAAAGTCCCTTAGACCTTAGCACATTGATTTGCCGTTCATTCCTGCCCTTCTCCAGGTTAATACTCTCGGCTAAACACTTTCACAGAACGTAAAGTATTCAGACTGGACCACATCTCATCATCATCTAAGGGCATCAGCACCACTTGCCAGACTAGAAACTGAGTCCTTATTGTCTTGCTTAGAATCACAGAACTGCCGGATAAACCATGGTGTACTACCCAGATTTCTTCTCCTTCCCCCTAAAGGCCAATCTTCAGCTCTTCCTTGTTCTCCTGGCCTCCCTGGTGTTGCTTGTTAGACTCTGGGTGGAAAGTCTACAGACTTGAAGTCAGTCAAGAATCAGTTCAGTAGAAACCAACTGTCAAGAATGGACTCAACACCCTTCTTTTGGAAAGCCCTGGAGGTGCAGGCTAGCTTTAATGAGTCCTGCTTCTTCACCCTCCCCACTTGCTTCAGCCTCTGGCAGCTAGACAAATTTGTACACACACACGCGCACGCACACACACACACACACGCTTGCACATGTGCACACGCTCACACACACCAGGTTTCGGAGGCATGTTATACCGGAAAGGGGCTCTCTAGTACGCTCTGTTCATTATCTACTCACATGCTTTCCTAAACCACGGGTTTGGTCGCTTGCTACCTCTGAGAATGAATATCCGTTCTGGCTCCTGCAATCACGAGAAGGGTAAGAACTAAGACTCAGATACCAAGGCTTTGTTACAGAGCCTCGAACAGGTACCACCGCCATCCTCTGAGGATGGGATCACTGCAGGTCCTTGGTTAAACCACGTGTGTGTAAATGAAGCAAATGAACCCTGGTGCCAGGTGGGAAAAGCACCACAGACAGCGAAACAGAACGACGTAGGTAAAACTTCGCTGTCAGCACCAATGTGATGCTCTGGCTTATGTTGCATTCATTTCTTTAGTCACCCATAAGGAGAAAGATCATTAGGTAAAGGTAAGTGTTCCTTTTTTTTCCCTGTACCTGTCGGCATTTACGTGGACATTAGGACCTCATCTGTGAAGGAAATTACCCCTGTGCCTATCTTCAGGGAGCTCATGAGCGAACGAGGAGAAGAACATCCAGGAGATATTTCTTGCAAATGAGTATGGCCTGGCGACTATGGAAACACAAGGAAGGAGGAGCTTAGAGTAGTAGTTCTCAACCTGTGGGCCGTGACCCTGCTGGGGGTCAAATCACCCCTTCATGGGGTTCACTCATCAGATATCCTGCATATCAGATATTTGCATTACGATTCACAACGATGACAACAGTAGCAAAACGGCAATTACGAAGTAGCAACAAAAATAGTTTTATGGTTGGGGGAGGGGTCACCACAACATGAGGTACTGTACTTAAGGGTGGCGACATTAGGAAGGGTGATAACCACTGGCTAAGAGGGAGGTAACTAAATAATCCTTTAGAAGTCTCCCCCCCCACCCCAAAAGTCAGAACCTTAGTTACACAGACGTGTGATCTTGGGAGGCTTAGATGGAAGGATCTCAAGTTCAAGGTTAGCCTGGACAGCTTAATGAGACCCTTTCTCAAAACATTAAGTACATACATACATACATACATAGCTTTGTAGTAGAGCGCTTACCTAGCCCTAGGTCCAATTCCTACTACCAACACTGCAAACCTAGGCAAATAAACAGAAGGGAGTGATGGGGGCGCGGGGGCGGGGGGTATCAGAGTCAGACCAGAGACGCTGAGACACTAAACAATTTGTTTCATCCTTGCTCCCTCTAGTCAAGCTGAAGCCCTTCAAACCTCTCTCTCCTTTGCGAAAGACAGCTTATCTTTCAAATACAGGATGCACATGTACACGGTCATTTTTACTGACCATTGTTTGAACTAGTATGCTGACGTTTGGGAAAGAAGACATCTCCCCAAGAATCCAAAGAACAGAATTCCAGGGACCGTGGCTGTAGTCCTTTAGCCCCCTCTGTTCCTCAGCAGCCTTGTTTTCCTAAGCTGTGGTCAGGAATGTGTTGGGAGGGGTAACATGGTTTGTGGGCAAGGAGCCCGGGCAGCTCCAGTCACGGTCCCAGGCTGGCCTTTCACCTTCTAGCTCTTGGGTCTGCTCTTATTAAGGAGCAAAATGTTTCAATATGTGGCGCTTTGGGGGAGGGACAGGAGAGAAAATCGGGATATTGTTGAAAAGGAAATAATGAATAGCCCTCCAGTCTTCAGCAGAGCCCCCCACGTGGGCAGATCTGGGTAGATAAGTGTGCTTTCTCCTGAAATGGAATTTTGTCAATTGCCTTTTGGTCAGAAATTTCCAGAGCCACTTGGGAAGGCGGAGAACTGGAGAGGAATGATACTAAACTAGATTGGTCAAAGGGTTCAGAACGAAAGCATCCAGGAATCTCAGTACTGCACGGGGGGTGGGGGGGGGAGAGAGGAGAAACAGCACTGGGCACACAAGTGTGTGTGGCTGTCTGCTTATTTTTGCACACTGATACACGTCAATCTCTACTCTCCATCACCTCTTCCTCTTCCCAGACACCTAAATTAAAAGCTAAGGCTCACCACTCTGTTCCCCAAGCGCTATCCAGGCAGGCTTGGTGAGCAGTTCCCCTGCAGACTCGTCAAGGAGAGGGCAAAGGTGTGAAATCTGCCCACCCTGATACACAAAGGCAACTGGACAGTATTGACAGGCAGCCTTGGGGAGAAAGGCCTGGTTGGGGGGCTGGGCTCCGACCTGACCATGGTCTCTGAAACCTGAGCCCCATCCAAGGTTCTTCTATCAGGAGAAGAGAAGAAATGAGTAACATTCTAAATCCCAAGAAAACACAAACTAAGACCAAAACAACTTGTTAACGAGTGCTTTTCAATGCCTGAACTCTGAAAATCAAAACCCCAGAAAGGAAAAAAAAAAAGTATCTCTATGATGAGTGTGTCTTACCCAGCTCTTAAAGATGGCTAAGAAAGAAGGTGGCCGGAAAGTGTATTCCAGAGGGGCTCAGATAAGTGGCAAGCGGGAAAACAGGAGCCTGGATGGAAATGAATAAGGACTACAGAAACGCCAAGTCTGGAAAGCCTTTATTTACACAGCAGTAAGTTCAATCTTTCCCAGAAGTGTTCAGCCTGGTCTCCTAGCTGTGTGTCTGTGTACGATGCCTCTGTGGGTTCTAAGTATTCCTAGAGGTTTCCTGGTAACATAGGGAGGTTTCTGGAAAGGCAGCTGGGGGCAGATGGGTGGCTGTCTCCTTAGAACAGTTCGTCGGACAGCAGCTGAAATATGGATAAGAAAACGGAAATCAAATTACAAGAGGGGGAAAGTCTGAGGAAGAGGACACACAGAGCTGCCAGAGGCAGGCAGGCGAGGAAACCTGCAGCCCTTGCTGGCTCGCTCAAACTCTGGTGACTCCAACAGCCTCCAAGATATGCTGAGCTGAGGCTGCGGGTCTAACTTGCAACTGTAGGCACCTACTAGGTTTAATTCCTCATTGTCAAAGTCCCCAGAGCTGGGACATAAAATGCCATGGAGGCCACAGTTAGGAGCTCCTGGAGCCCCTGGGCTTAGCTGCCAAGGGTGTCCTGAAAGGTGAGTATCCTGCTTCTATTGGCTGGGTGGGATCCCTTCTCTCGGTGTGCCTGTCTCTCTATGCTGCTGTCCTCCTCCCTCCCTCTCTTTCCCGCCTTCCTTCTCCCCCCATATCCCAGCCACCACTGCCCTGGTAGTGATCACAAAATATGGGGCTCTCTGAGCAGATCCTCCTCCCATTCCTCTATTTTCTACCTCCCTCGCTCTACTTGCAAACCAGCCCTGGGTTTCAGAGAAAATTTTGAGAGTGAAAAGAAGGTGCTGGGGTTTGAATCAGGAAAGGAAATGCAAGAGCCAGAGAATACACACCTAGTCGCTGAACTAGTACCTGCGTGTGTTATGACTTCAGAAGTCAAAAAAGCTGGAATTTGTTAGTAGGGAGAAAAGTGATTTATCAGAAACACATTGGCTGCTGGAGAAGCTCCGGGATTGCCTTGTTAAAGATGGTTTCAGAGAAGGAAGAATAGGAGGGAGAAGGCCACAGCCCCAGTCTTAATCAAAGCAGGGGACAGACCTGCCCGGGCATATGCACCTGACACCTTAAGTGGCTTTGCTTCTCCAGTCCAAGTGTTCTGACCGTGTGATCCACTTCCTCAGCCATGAAAATGAGAGCCCATTGATCAGCATCTTCTGCTCTGCTCTGGACCTGTTTTCTTTCAAAAGAGGGAGATGTTAGTTCCTCTGAAAGGGGCCTCCACAGACCTCAGAAGCTGAGTCTTCCTCCCTAGGACATCCATAGCCTCGAATGGATGGAAAGTGTGCCCCTAGCCTGGCTTAGTGGGAGGGTACTGGGAGCACCAAAAACAAAGTCCCTGCCCCAGAGCCTGTTGGTGACTCTTATGACCTGCTCTCTGGAGACCTGCAGCTTGGATAGAACACACTCCCCTTCCTGAAGACTCTCTCTGTCCTCTAATCAGGATGCCTCGCCACCCAAGTTACTGAGAAGGCTATAGTGTCTGGTGTGTCCTTAAGAGAGCATGGGAGCTGGTTCAGTCCTTACCATATCCTGGCCTGAAGTCCCGTACACAGAGGATTTTCAAAGGACCAGACAGATTTTCAAAGGCCCCTCTGTATCTCGTGGCCTTCTCTATTGAGACCATCGGGTCTTCACCTTTTCTCCACTTTTTAGTGATTCAAATTTCTCCTACTTAGGTTGCTTCTGAAGCCTTGAGGATTGTTCCTCTTTAGCACAAGATGTTTCAGACTGTCCCTGACACATCGTCTTATGTCAAGGTAAGACAAGACAGCATCTTTAAACAGGTCTCCTCCACCTCTACTCTAGGCCTTTGATCTGGTTCTCCTTCAAGGGGTAAAAATGGGTGGAAAAGAGGGAAATCCTTAGCTATTCAGTCATCATGATCTCCCTTTTGGGAGACTGAGTGGGCCTACTGGGGGGTGTACAAGCAGATGTAAACCTGTGTGACTCACTGGGCGCCTGGCACACAGTAGGTGCCCTGCTTTAACATGTGCACATGTTTGCAGATGAGTGAATGTGTACGGATTTGTTTGGCCTGTTCAACATGCATGGATGTGCATGTGAGCATGCGTGCGACTTTGTGCAAATATATGAGCACAATTATTTTCTTTACTGGATGGACTCGCTTGGCCGTCAAACCCACCAAAGCCTGCCTACCCCTCAAATACTCAGATTGCTATATTTGACAGCTCATTGAAGGGGTTGTTTTCCCCTTTCCACAACCGTTCCCAAGAATGTAAACAAACCCAGACTGGGACATCTGGGTTACACGTTTAGTGAAAATCTTCTGGTGGGTGGAACGAAGAGTATACACTGGATGGCCATCCCAGGGTAGAGACTGGGCCTCACTTCACACAGCCAAGAACCAGGTGGAGGAGGAAAGACCCACCCGAGGTTGCAAAGGAACCTCCTTTAGGACTGGGTTCCTTTCTTCACCCAGAAGACCTACCCCAAGTGTCCTGCCAGCACACCCAGGCTCAGCATTCTCCAGCTTTTGGAAAGGGGAAGGCAGAGCATAGGCCTGTCTGCCAGGTCCAAGGAGCACTAATTATGTATCTAACAGGGCTCAGAAAGTTGTTGGCAATAGACAACACCTTCTCTCAGTCTACCTGCAATCAGAGGCAGTGGTGTTCCCTTCAAGAAGGGTCCAGGAGGATTGCTCCAGGAAGGGTGACTAAGCAATGATGGGAGAGATGGGGGAGAAACTGGAGTGAAATCATGTCAATAATTAGCCCTTGCAGAGATGAATGGATGGCTCCCAAGAGGTGCCTGGGTAAACTATGAGATCAGACTGGAGGAATCAGGGTTCTGGTAAAACTGGCCAGTTTTACAGAGGTATAGTTCCTTCTACCTCCCTCCTCACCTCTCCCAGCATAAAAGCCAAACTAAGGTATCTTCCAACTTTTTACACCCAGTGTCCTAAATGACCCTCATCCTGGCTGCAGACTTTTTCCAGCTCACACACCAGGAACCAGAACCTCAGAGATAATAACCCCTCCACACACACCAAAAGGGCAAAGGGGAAGCCCAGGGTCTGACCCAGGGTTAAGGGTCATAGAGAAGCAAGCTGGTCCAGGACTATGTAGCAAAGCAACCTGGGGTGGGCAAAGAGGCCCTGTGAGAGATGTGGGTTGCCACGGGAGCCGCTTGCCGCAGGAGCTCTTTTCAAGGAGGAAAATGGATTTTTCAGCAGCCACAAAGTTTGTATTGTTGCACAAAGGAGAGCATTGATGGTGAAAGATCTCTGCGTGGCAGGGACAATCTTTGGTCTGTTCTTCAGGCTTCCTTCACCAACCATTTGCCAGAGGGACACAAGCTGCCAAGCCCCTGCTGTTCCCTGTCTGCACCAGCTCAGGGTTGTTGACAAACAAGGGAGCCCAGGTGACCTGGCCCCAGGCACCAGGAGCTGAATCCTGCCCTGAAGGACAAGGAGCCCTCTCCACCCAGTCTCTGGATGCTGCTTACTGCAGACTGAGGGCTCAGACTGGGAGCTAGAGAACCCTGCAAGGAGTCCTCGGTGCCTCTCTATGGTGATATTGACAGCTCCCTCCCTGTGCCAGGCCCTGTTATTATACTATTACTATTACTATGACCCAGGGGTGGTTTGTTTTGCACAGGAAGATTAATGTGACAGTTTGTAAGGGGCAAGTTCAAGACACAGACACCAAGGACTGTGTAGTGACTGCCAAGCTTGTTTACCATAGCTTCTGAGAGGCATTGTGCAGAGGTCATTGTACAAAACGGGTTACTGGCTCAGAGAAGTTAAGAAACCAGGGAGCTGGGTGGTCCAGCCTGAATTTTCAAACATGGCATCCGGGTTGAGAGGTGGGTGGAAAAGGGACTAGAAGACCCAGAGCAGTAACTCTTTCCCGTAATAGCATAGTGCTGGAAGAAATACGAATTCCATCTAGGGAGGGGGCAAATCCTTGAGATCTGATACACACACACACACACACACACACACACACACACACACACACACCACCCCTGCACAAGCCTGACAGGTTTCTTCTCTTTCTGTTCTTCGCTGTGCTCTTCTGCTCTCCAGTCTACCAGCCTGCGGATTCTGCCCAAGCGGTTTTCTGGGGGAGACGTCCTCCCTACCCACCTTTGCTCCCAGACAAGGCGAAGCTGCTGGATCCTGAACCTGCACAGAGACTCTGCCCATAAGTATCTGGCGTGCAGGTCCTGAAGCTGCGCTTCAAGCACAGTGGTCGATATATTTGGAGTGACTATTGTATGGGACTACTGGGAGGTCGGGTTTGCTGAGATTCCAGAAGCTGAACCCACCGGCAACCTCCATAGTCCCCATCGAGGCGCCGCCACTGGATGAGGGTCGTGGCTGGTCTCCACCTCCTGTCAGCCTGCGCTCTCTGGTCAGCCTCTGACTCCCTCGGGGGTTTCCTCAATGACGCCGAGTGGTCTGGGGGTTCGGCTTCCAACTGCCTGGGACTCGGGTCTCCAAGACCCTTCTGGCCTGAACCCTCCCACCCCCCTTGCGGCTCTGTAGGCGCTGTGGCCTCCCACGTAGCGTTTTGAACTGGGTCGGTGCTAAAGCAAGAATGAACGTGGGGAGTGGGCTGGGTGAGCAGAGGCTCTAAATCTTCCTTCAGTCTGTGAGTGGATGAAGTCTAAGAAACAAATTCAAAGCAGGCGCGCCTGCAGAGCCTTCCTGCAGAAATAGTCCCCAGCATTCAAGCGCATCCAGGGGCGGCTCAAGCTGCCTTGTTTGGCTAAGGTCAGACGAGACTCGAGTTCTCCAATAAAAATAAATCTCAAATTAATTATGGCCTCGAGCGAGAGGCCAGACACTTGAAGCTGCAGTTGTGCAGTCTGGAGTTTTGGCGCTCGCCTGCCCACCCCTTCTCCCGCCCCCTTCCCCAGCCACCACCTCCTGCTTTGCCAGCTAGATACCCTCTGAACTGGTTGGGAAAAAAGAGCGCTGGGAAAAGATTTGGCCCAAGACGCTTTGCCAGACCTGGCACTTTTAGGAGCTTCAAATGACCCAGTCGTTGCAGGATCCGAAGGCACCTCAGGCTCGATTGTTAGGTCCTCCCACTCCAGTTCCAGGCTGGGACCAAAGGAGCCCGGGAAGCCTGCGTCTGGAAAGTCTTGACCCGGTCAAAAGGGCTGACATTGAGCGAGCCAAGACACGTTTTGTTGGCGGTTCTCCTCCCTGGGGAAGCAGGACTTCCGCATCTTTGAAATTGTCAAGTGTGTATGGTACAAAGCAAGTCGCTTCATCAACGCTTTAATGAAAATTCTCCAAATTCAATGCTTCCTAAATATTCACCCACGTGGCTGTATCTTCTATACAACTTAGAAATGTGAGCCAGGATGTTTTGCTATTGAAATTTTTTTTCCAGTTGGTGGCTTATAAAAAGAAATGTGTAGCCTGGCATCTTTGGCTCTGAGCTTCCCCTGACTTGAAAATCAGAGGAAGAATGAGCTAGTGGAACTGCTGCGATGGTACCTTACCAACTTCTAGCTCCCTGCCAGGCCCAGTCTGAGAAACAGTGAAGCCCACAGTCCTTGGAGCTCCGGTAAAGAGGGCGTCCACCACTGTGTGGGCAGGGACTGCCATTCTTGAGCTAGACTGGTAGACAGGCAGGCGAAAGGATGGATAAGAGCCACAGAGAGCCAGAAAAGGAGGGGGGGAGAAGGAAGAGGGCGAGGAAAGGGAAGGGGAGTGAGAAGTGAGAGAAGGGGAGGGACCTGCCCTCTCCCAGCACAAGACAGTTTTCATTTGCAGCAGGCCTCACCGCAGGCTCTCTATCAATTTGTCTCAATGCAAACATTCAAAATATTCTCTTTGGCTGCTCATGAAAACAATGTGAGCTGCCAGGATCAAACCATCTTTCCAGATGTCTGGTGGTAACCACATTAAACAGGGCAGACTTGTTTACTGTTGTGTTTGGTTAGGGCTTTTCCCCCCTTCGGGATTTAAAAAAGAACCAGGAGGAGGATAGAGTGGAGTACCAAACCCAGAGTTACATAAGCAAGCAAACTTGCCCACCAGCGCGGCAACATAGGATGGAAGGAATCTGACATCCTATCCCAAATCTGCTCAAACCGGGGGACTGAGCCTTATTCTGGGTGGAGATCCCTGTGAATGGAGGGTTTGGTGGCAAATAGCCAAAGACTGCAGTGGTCCCTATGTCCAACTATGTGGGGCAAGGGGATGTGTGTGTGTGTGTGTGTGTGTGTGTGTGTGTGTGTGTGTGTACACGCTAGCCTCCCCCTCCCGCCCAAAAAAACGAGAAAGTGTTTTATAGTGTCAGTTTTGCGGGCAGAGACAAAAGCACTCTTTAAGTTTCCCAGCTAAGATGGGAGTTCAAGTCTTCGTTTTGATCTGGATTCTCCTTGAGCAGCACTGATGAGAGAAGAAATTGGGCTCAGAGAAGTCAGGGGTTTTTCCAGCGACTGCTGGTCACTGTAGTGAAGATGACTGTCATTTGTCAGATCAAAAAAGTTGGAAAGAAAAACCTAATGGTTGCCTGCTACTTGGTGCTTTCTAAGGGGGACTGAGTTAGTTACTACATGTGAAGTGGCTATTAGTGGCCTCTGTCTGTCCAGTGCCTGGAAGGGGGACCTCGTGGCGAAGTAAACAGTCCTTTGGGGGCAGAGAGAAGCACGGTAAGGCTTGGGTGCACCCTCCTGAAAACTACGTTGTCCTTTGAATGTCTGTAGAGTCTGGGCTGAAAAGGAAACAATTTGGGGTTTGAAAGGATGTAATTCATTCTTCCTTTCCCTTTAACCTCTTTCCTCTCTGGAAAGCATGTGGAAACGCTGAAGTTGGAAGAGCCAGAGGGCGGGCGGCCCGGCCGCAGGCAGGAAAGGGTTAAGCCTGATTTCTTTTAATTGAACTCCAGAACTGGTGGCCCCAGGCAAAGGGGGGGACTGACCCCGCTAGCGGTAACCAGATGTGGCGGTCCCAGGGGAGCCCCGGAGCAGACCCCTGGATTGAGAAGCAGACAGGAGGAGGGGGAGTGGGCCCGGCCCCCACCCCACCCCCCACAGTAAACCGAGTCTCAATTGCTGGCAGTCTGCGCCGCCACTCCAGGTCTGGTCACGTTCAGACCCGTGTCTGTATTCGAACCCCAAATTGGAGCTGAATTGATGAGACTAATTTGGATAGGGGGGAGGGGAAGGGAGGGAGGCGAGGGAGCGCAATTGCTCCTGAAGAAATAAAGAATTTATAAGTCACCTTTTTGCTGCCGTGGACACCCTTTTGAATTTTTTTTCCAATTTATTCGGATCTGCTCTGGATTTCCCCCACCCTCTTTTCCCGGGAGGACTCTTAAATAAAAGTGAGGAAGTCCACAGCGTGGTCTGAAGAGCGTGGATAAGGTAATCTATTTTGGATGTTGGGGAGAAGGGAGTCAGGCCGCGAGCGCGGGTACCCCAGAGGCAGCCTAAGTAGACCGCTCCTGGGTCCAGCAGGGGAGGTAGGAGATCTCAGAGAGAACTAGGCGGGCAAAGAGGGCCACGCCACTGGGTGGGGATGACAGTCCCCAGCTCAAACCCTCGGACTTCTGGGTCTCAGCGAAGAAGGTTGGGGCTGTGCTCAACCGCGGGGTGCCGCGCTCCCCAGTGCTGCCAATTGGTGTAGAGGGCACGCTCGCCCAAAAGTAGTTTCTTGATGGCTGCGATAGTATTGAAGGGCAGAACTTGATGCTGAGCGGAGGTTTGGCAGTCGAATACACACAAGTTACAGAGAGGATTTAACACCAAAAGGCGTAGATAAGTAGCCTAAGATGCGCCTGGTCCACCCCTTAGCAGGCATGGGGAGCCGGGAGTAGAGGCGCACACGCGTGGGCACCGCTTTCCTAACAAAGCTGGAGGTGTTGAGTCACACCCTTGACAGCTCAGGTCCGCGGCACCCAGAATCCGCATAGAGCCGTTCCGGAGTTCAGCGCTTGATGCTGAAAGTTCTTTCGGATGCCTTCCTTCCTTCCTTCCTTCCTTCCTTCCTTCCTTCCTTCCTTCCT